ACACAAACGTAGAATGCTTTTAACAAACGACCAATGGAGAACAAGCCGCGGAGAGAGACCCCACCTCGGCTGCAGTAGAAGGTCTTCAAAAGCACTTTATACCCAAAAGTCGTTTAAAAAATGTCGGGTCCGCTTTCCGCTACCACCAGTGTGGCGTCCCCAGACCTGGCCGGTATAAGAAGTCGGTGAGTGCAGCTGTATACATGGATCCAAGCATGATCCGAAGGCCAGCACACATGTACAAGGACCAGGCAAATCCTAAAGTGACCGCCAAACGCCATGTGTTCACATAAACAGAGTATAACATGCTGCTCTTTGCAAGTCTCCTTGGGCGCGAAAAACTGTGACGTTTCTCTCCAGATTTGTTACAAGTTTTTTTATTTTAGTTTTCTGAACAGGTGGCACAGGTTTTAGTTGCTAAAAAGCCATGAAGCTCTGAGTGGTTCCTCCCTCCTTGTGCATATTAAATGCCACCTGGTAAGCCACAATTTATTCTAACCACGTTGGTAGCTTAAAACTAGTGATGTGGTCCAAGCAAAACAAGATATGCTAAGTGCACACAAAGCGTTTACCTTCCCTAGGTCACTGCCATCCAAAGGAATTTAAACTATCGTTTTTGCAACTCATCAAATGTGCATTAATTTGCAGCATCCACGGTGCGCCGATAGAGCAACTTTCCTGTTGTACTTTATGCTTTTAATTGTAAATTGTAGCGTACTTACTCCTACTACTAACGTCCCTTTCCGTAACATTAACAGCCCAAGGTCACAGCTATGGGGAGATACCTACCGAACCCTCCTCCTTAGATCGAAAGAAGCAATTTTGCATGTCTCAGACCTAGGCACTCCTAACCTATGGACAACCAGCTTCGTACCCATCCTTCACCTCAAGCGAGGAGGGGTGCGTATGCAAGTAAAACACATTCCATACTACTCAGTAAAACATTAATACTAGTATTATGCTCCTTTGTAAGCCCTCAATTACCTTAGCATCACTAAATTTTCTTGAGCTTTGATTCCACATGTGCTGCAGCATTCGACCCCAGCCGGAAAACTAGACAGCAAATTAAAAGTAATGTGGGTAGCCAGAAAAGACACCCGTTTTTAGTATTTGACGGCGCGCATATGAAAGAGGGCCATTCAGCAATTTTACAATCGATATGAGAAATCAGTCACTTGCTACACTTCGTGAAGTATGTGACATTCATCAGCAGGAGCAAGACAACATCACAAGCAGAAAATAAGACGAAGTCAAAACGCTGATGGTTTGGAGGGACTGGATTGACATAGGGTCGAAAAGGAGAACTGCTAAGACCGCCCACTGAGAATCATTTGCACGTACTCCGAGTACGACGGAGCCGTTGTTGTTCTATCTTCAACAAGTGCATTAATGAAACGACTCTTTAGAGGCTCCGGCACATCATGCCTAATTAAAATAAGTGCAGTTCCAAGTGATCGGTCGCGCTGGATGAATTTAATAAGGGCCTGGAGACGCCTTCTGGGTGGTGGTGGTTTCTCTCCGTCCGGTAAATCAGCCAATTTTGTTAACGACTTTTCAACCGTCAACTCATCGATGGTGGAGTAGCCGATTAGGGACTGCAGGTCCGCTGCTGGAATGCCATAGCCCACAAGCAGAAGAATCAAACTACCTGTATCAAGAAGGAAGATACCGTCGCGCGTGATTGACTTTCCAGTCAAAGGTAGGCACGGCAGAGGGACACAGGGCTCGTCTTTTAGAGAGAGAGAAGCAACCTTTTGCGCAAGGGTGCTCTTGCCACAGGCAGACTCGGTTATGAATGAGTTGACGGCGTACAAGCGTGGATATATGAGGGGGAGCATGCGGTGCGTGGAAGCACCAATGAGCAACTCTAGCGCCCCAGAGCGAACATCCAGTGAGGTGGAAATGTGATTCCTGAAGGCCGCGAAGCGCAACGCGCCACACAGGTAAGAGGGGAGGAGGCGGAGAGAAATGGGACAGATATCGGAAGGGGAGGAGCCCGACATGCCTGGAGTGCGCTCGTTTTGGTAAGCAGAAAGAATGTCTCCCATCACCGTAGTGAGAGCCTCACGAGCGTTACTCAAGCCCGAGGAGATGGTACGCGCTGCCGCCATCTTAGCTACCAAACAGGCCACGGCGCCCTCATCTGCGTGGTTGAAGATAGCTTCCGGTGAATCAGTCACTGGGAGACATAATGTGTGCACACGAATTCGACGATCTCCAAAAGCCGAGGTATACAACAACGCTGCCTATCAAAAATGGCAGTATGAAAGAAAGCGAAGCAACACCATAAATCAACGAACCAAACTGACTTCTGCCGTTATGTAGTAGGTTTACTAACCATATGTCGAACACCCTTTACACGACATAAATCGTTTAAATAAAAACGTGCAGCTTTGGATGCTATGCTTGCTGAAAAAAGTATGTAACTACTTTTGGCTTCACACATTAACAAAGCGAATGAAAGAGATTGACGAATTTTACATCTCAACAATGAGAACGCTCCAAAATAAGGGAAGCAAAACAACAAACCTGAAAAATAACTGTTGAGAAACTATCCAGCCTTTCATTTATTTCCAACTGCATGGCGTAGCCTGCATCTGGATTGACGATCGGCAAGGTTAAGAGGTCAACCGATCGCATGAAAAAGTTCCCATAGAAGTTCTGAAAGAAGAAATTTTAAATGCTCGAACCATATATTAATAGGCAATGGTAATTAATGCAGGTGACACCTTCGAGATAGTGTTTCGCGCTTGAGAGAGTGGAACAAAACGATAGAAAGTGAGAAGCGCTAGCCAACAAAAGAATTTATGGGGATTATTCGTAAGTCCTTATCCTTCGATCACAAATACCAATAGAAATAGCCTGGTTAAAGCGACGTTTACACGACTAGAACAAAAATGGGCAAGAATCCTACTTTAATTCAAGTAACAGATGAAGCCAATAAGCTAACATGAACGCCACCTGAACAGCAAGACCTCGTGTGCAGCGTAGGCGGAGAACAGCCTCAAACCCAATCTTCCTCGTTAGATAACGCAGAAGATCCCTGTGGAGACTCTCGACCTCCACATAGTCACACGACTCGTGTGAAGCCACCTTTCTCTGCTTTTGCCAAGCATCCGTATTACCCTTCCCAATCGGCTGTCTAGTTTCGTCAGAGTCATAGTGGAAGTTGGGATAGTGGTACACTCCTCCTCCAGAAAAGCGCGCTACGCCTGAGATAGTCGCGATATCGCAGTAGTTGGAGTTTAACATAAACAAATCAACCGAAATCTGCCGAAGTAAAAATACAGAAATGGACTTGTGTCCAGTGAAAACATCGAAACATCGTGACATATATTGACCCATACATAGTATCGCAAATAAGGAGGCTTTATGAGAAGATAGCTCACCTGAGCTGCCACAAAATCTAGAGCTATAGTTCGATAGAAATCGGATGCCGGGCGAAGATGTTCCGCTTCAGGTTTGGTGAGATCTTCAAGTGTTTCCCGGCATTCCAACGCACCTGGTCCCACAGAGGGGATACTAACGTTGAATACTGTTACACGACCACCACTGCCACCAATAAGTTTTAATGCTATCTGAAGTGGGAAGAGTAACCAAGGTGAAAAAAGCAGTCAGATATGGAACATAAAAAAACAAATTTCAGAACAAACACGTATAAAAAAGAAAATTGCACCTGCTGGTTGGTATTTTCAACAAATATCAAAAGAGCGACACCATATCAATAGGGACGGGCTTATCGAAACGATACTGCAACGGGCTATATACGTGACAGCGGCTTTCACGCCTAAGGATTCCAAAGAAGCCTAACCATATGTATCTAGAGGGGAGACCCCCAATTGTAGTGCATACTAAACCGCCTCTATTATGGGATGCTGCAGAAGGCAAAAGTTAATAAAGTTGAGTACACGAAGTATTGAAAGGCTCATAATCCCAAATGATTTGCACAAGGCCTTCAGCCGAGAGAGAATTTCCTGTGTAATAAACGATCCCTCAAAAGCACCAACAAATGGTTGAGGTTGACCAGAAGAACATCATGAAAGCATGTATGTAAATGTAGAAGTTAAGCCTTATATAATCTTCATTGATGCGTGTAACCAAGTTCATGCCAAAATACCCACAGAGAGAAACCGCACCACGCGCGGTACTGTGTTGAGTTACAGATCAAAATGAGTGCCAATGACACATCGCAGACCTCCCATCAAGGTAGTGATAATTTGTAGTTTTCAAAATAGCGTAGAGGATCAGTTCTGTAAGCTAGTAAACGCCACACGCACAGTTCCGAGCTCTGATAGCAAAATAAACCATATGGAACGGCCTTTACTTACAGAGTAGAAACACTTTTGTTTAACTTCTACTTTTAAGTTTCCAAATGCTGAAACCCAAGTACATTTAACAGAAACGACAATTTTGGTACTCTGTGTATTGGATTAGTAGATATGCCGCATGTGAAGGAGAAATGTATAAAAATACGAATATTAGACATTCACAAAGCAACAAAATTGGTGAAAATTTATAAATTAATAATGTAAATCAGTGAATGATTTGACCCCCATTAACACAACCTATGATAATAATAAACTACTACAACAAGGCGCATCCTACATGTCTGCGTGTGCAAATCAGATGCTTTAGTGGTTGCTTAATAGTAAACAAGTGAATCTTGCGTTTCAAAAGGAACAGAGAAGACCAACTTGAAGAACAAAACCGAGACAGTTCGAAGTTTCCTGGGTGTTGGCAAACTCGCTTGGGAGCTGACGAAGGAGATCGATGATCGGCTCTGCACAGTCGTTGATTCTATTTACCATACCATTCAGATCAGGTAAAAAGACCTCGGAGAGATCCTGACAAATAACCATTCGCATTTTCTTTCCTAGGAGTAAAACAGAAAGGAAAATCAGCCACAAGCAGTGAAATAATATTATCAAGTTTGAAAACAAAATTATTGACGTAAAACAGACTGAAGAAAGTGGTTTGAGGCTTGATAAACATAGTTACAGCAAATAGTGTAAAAGGGAATAAATGATTCCAACTAACCTGAAAGAACGTAAAACTGCACACCAGAATCAAAGGTAAGGATGGCGACCTGTCGTCGTGAACCACCAGGCATTTTTATGAGCTGATCTGCAATCAAATCACAAACAAGATCGAGATAACCTGTGGTCACGGCGGCTCGTGAGACCTCCAGACAAAAGACGTAGGTAGCTGCCTGTGGAGGACGCAACATGTACTCCGAAGGCGCGATAAACTCTACAGTGGCAGAGCGGATCTCCGGCCGACGTGACGGATCTCCGTATGTCTGAGTGGCAGGATCAAAAAAGAAGTCGTCCGGCACTATGTTCGACAGCAAGCATACAGGACAGCGCCAGCGACGTCCATTGTCAATAAATTTGACAAAAGGGTTTATATATGTGCGACAGGATCGACAACGCACAATCACCGAAGGCTGAATGACGGGTAAGTCACTCACATCGCGAAACGGATGCACCAGAAGTCCCAGAGGCAAACGACACCTGGACTGCAACTTGCTCGTGACTGGCACTGTGGTCAAAGTGCATCGCATGTAGTCTGGATGGCAATTTACCTAAAAGTAGGTGAGACTGCAGGTCAAGGTGACAATGTATGAAACAGTCAGGCCTCGAAAATCAAATCATCATTGCTTAAAAGTCCTACCCTTCATATATGAACGCTTGGACTGCTAGAACTTCAAAAATTTCTATGGAAAAATGACCAAGGAATTTTTCCTCGCACAAGCCTGGAATAAATCTTGCAATAACAGCCAGCATTAGTACAACCGAATTAAAAGGATTAGGCAATGCAAAGCAACGATTCATTCATAATTTTAGGTAGATTACTGCCACAAACACTTGCCTGTGTTGATAAATTAGGACATCGTGGCTTTTCTGGTCCATCGCTGGGTAGGAAGTTAGAATCGTGCAGCAAACTGACTGCACCGTTAAGTGCATTCCATTCTTCAGCGGAAAGAACTGCACCAGGCATTCTATCGGTGGAGTGTTGTTGAGACAAATAACCAAATCGGTCATTTCCCTTCACAAGCTGTGCAGTAATGGCTCGAGACCTTTGCATCGTCTTCAAGTGTCTTGGTTGTGAGGACAATTGTAAGTGATCCGAATTTGTGGACTGTGAATAAGCTGAGTGCCCAGAAAGAGCTAAAGCTTGATTCTGGGACCGCGAAGATGGGCAAGAGTGAGTAGGTGACATATTCTCGAGTCGAGATGCTTGGAGACTTAATGAAAGCGATTGGTTTGCAGAAGACTCTTGTGACGACGAAAAATACTGCTGCCGGGATTGTGATGCCGTTGATGAAGAACAAGGCTGTGAAGACCAATGAGATTGTAATGAGCCTGCAACAGCTTCTGAAGGAGACGCACGCAGGGATGGAAAAGAAGACAATAACTCAGTAGCAGACGAAGTTGAAAAATTCTGAAAGTCACCATGCTGTACGTTAGTATGAGGCGCTATTGAGCAATGGAGCGCAGAGGTCGGAAGTTCATGAGGCGAAACATAGGAGTTGAGAGGATGAATACCAGGTGCTACTTTTTGATTTTGAGGCAGTGGAGAATTCTGCTGTTGGTTAGGCATGGATGGATGATATTGTTGAAATTCAGGATTGAAATGTGCCCAACTAGATAAAGAAAGTGCGCCTGGACCGAAAGTATGCTCTGCTTGAGATGAGTTGGATGTGCTCACTTCTACCGCGAAAGAGTTTTCAGCTGTTTGGAAAGCACAACACTTTGGCTGCTGCTGCTGCTGCTGCTGCTGGTCTTGTTCTTGAGCTTGGTTTAAATAAGGAGTTTTTATTGTGAAAGAGGTGGACAAGTTCAAAGGAAAGGCATCAGAAGGAGGAGGAGCACGGACGACAGATTGAACAGCTATAAAGGAAAAAACATATAGATCCTGCAACTTAAAACCTAATAAAACAGAGAAAGTTGAGAAGAATTACGGGAGAACTGATTTTCCAGAAGAGCTTTCTGTGAAGAAACAACTTCTTGCGCAGCAGAATTTGTAGAAAAACCATTGTTGTTAACATAGGCTTGCTTATTTGCACTGATGAGCGTCTCATCAGGAGCGGAAAGAGGCTGATGAAAACATTGAAAAACGTCAGAAAAGAAGCATTGATAACTATAAAAAAGAAAAAAATTGAACGTACAGAAGGTTCAACATTTATTAACTGCGTCTGGAAGGGTGTACGGAAGCACTCCACAGGATTTGGAAATCCATCTGACATCATCTGTCAAAGCAAGGAGTCAAAGACACAGTAGCACCATTATTGTTTGCAGCAAAATCAAAAACGACATTTACAAATGTGGAGTAATAAGTGATGTGCGAAGAAAAAACGAGTATACGCCAAAATCAGTGATGCACGTGCAGAAAACAATTACAAGTCAAAGAGATTTCGATAGGCGAAACCACAACTAGGCACCAAAAGTTAAAACGTCATCATTTAATAGTAAAGAACAGGAGAACTCGACTACTAATTTATATCATCACATTAACGACTCTTATTTGTAAACGATGGCGAAACTTAAGGAGCCAAAAGCAGGGCCAACGAGTGCATTCACCAAAGGTATCTACCCATTCAAGCCCAAAACAAGGCCACAAGAGATGACGTACGAAAACGCTTTTGAATAAGCCACGCAAAAACCACCAAAAAATAACTCACTTCTTAAGTTGCATATAGAACAGAGCGACTAAACCTTGAAGAATCATTCTCGTCAATCCAGTTCTTTTAATAATAATAAATGGAGACCAGGCTAGTCTAGACATAGTGTGTGTTTAAATGGTCACGTAACATGATTATGGGTTTGTTTTGACGTCGGCCAACAAAACAAGTGTGTTATCCATGCCCTTCCCACCCAATTTATTCAACTGGCTACCTTGAGCCAAGTAGCTTAGTAAGAGTCAGGAGTGTCATTTGCTACGAGGACCACGTTTAAATTAGGCAATCTTCTATTGTCTTTACTATTTATCTGCTTGAATGCCCATGCGAGTGGTAACCATTTGACTACCAGTTTTAGGTTTCGTTCGTAAAATCACCTGTATGCCTATCGAGTGCTTTATTATTCAATTAGGTGTGGTGTCTGTGTAGTGGTCTTCAGTTCAGGCTAAAGACCATATTTTTGTTCTATCTGGCAATTATCGAAAAGCTGATAGATTCACCTCACCATTTAAATACCTAATTGTGCAAATATCTATAATCAGGTCGTTAATTTGGTGCTTTCCTTGCTCTGTGCGCATGGGCCAGTCTTCACTCCATGCCAAGAATGCAACCCATCCACTTAGCATGGAACACATGTACTCTCTATGGAGACCTAAGATCTTACACAGGGTAGGAGAAGGCAGTAAGTGGAGCTGAATACATGATTTCAGATTGACCAAAAGACCTAGATCTGAGCTTGGCCTGAAGGCCAGTCCACGCGTACAAGGGCGAGATAAATCTTAAATTATCCGCCAGACATCAGGCAACCACACAGAGAAAGTATTACATTCCGCCTAGCCTGTTGTTTTCCAACTATAAGAAAGTGCCGTGGCGCTACTTTAACAGTGCTTTCCGTTGCCATTAGTATGGCATTCTGAGACTTCCCAATAAATAGAATAACGAATAGGATGAAGCAGAATGCGTGTTTTTTTAGAAAAGAAGAAGCAATAGGTTCCTTAAATGACTTGAATGTCAGCCCACACTTGCAAAAACAAAACAAATACCAAAGTCCCGCTGGATATCAGGCTGTCACGAAATTAGATATACAGTCATATTGTAGCGCCTTGAGACTTTCCATCGGGTCGAAAAAGCAATAAGTGGGGCTGGGTTCAAGTATTCCAAGAGGAACAAAGTAATTGATCCTGAGCGTACTGTAATGTCTTGTTTATACGACCACCTGGCTTTTGGCGTAGGCTAATCTTTGGGCCATGCTTAGGTCCATTTGTTCTGTTTTCTTCAAAATACATGTATCCAGCCTCACTTACTGCCTTCTTTCACCCTATAAAAAGTATCGGGACGCTACATGTGGCACAAAGTCCACTCCACTCGTAGAAGGGCCAGGCAAAACTTAACGTAAGGACCAGAAACCAGGCGATCATATAGATAAAGTCATATACATATAACCAAAGTATCACAGTAATCGAGTAATATGGGGTCTTTCTTGCACGTTCAACATCACTATTTACTAATATTTTAAGGTTTTATGGTTGTTATTTTCCTCTGCCATGGTTGCCCTACGCATAACAGCGCAGTTGGCACTCGCAATCTTCGTAGGTATTTTCAGCGTTTCGCCAATTTTATTATTTTCCACATCGTGAATATTGCAATCGATCATCCATTGAATTTAGCGTCTAAAGAGATGTGCGTTTCATAAAATTTCCCACTATTTATTAAACAAAATGTTTCTAAATTCTTATTGTCATCATAGTAGCTGAGCTGGGTTATATACACTCACTTGAAAACATTTAAATAATGTAGCTGCTCTTGGGGCATCTGCGTTTCTCCATTGGTGACTGGGTATTTTGTTGTGACGCCGTTCTCTTGGTGCATGCGCGAGAGGAAGTATAGAGGTACTTGCGAAGATCAAAAAGTTGAGCTTCTCCTCTGCTTGCTGAAGAGTGATTGTTGTCAAAAGGTTGTTTTGCCACCGCCATTTTCCTAACTGCATTAGTTAAGGAAAACTCCCCGGGATTGCTTGAATGAAGACAATTTCCCTAAGGAGTGCACAATCGCCAGGCACAATTTTGACCGTTGTCGAGCTGAAATTGTAAGCTTTTCTTAGAATTCATCTCTTAGCTTGATAAACGCACTCGTCTTCGAGGAAAGCGATTTGAGAGTGATTGACAAGCATGGCCGTCTTTGTAACCGTGGGAACTACCTCTTTTGATGAATTGATTCAAGTAATAAACGCTAAAAAATTCCATCAAGCTCTTTGGGATTTGGGATATCGGAAACTATTCATACAATACGGGAGCGGCACCGTTGAACCGTCCCTCTCCGGTAGTCCCCTGGAAGTTGATGCCTTTCGCTATCGAATGAATTTGGATCCAATTTTTTCTGCTTCATCTCTGGTAATTAGTCATGGAGGAGCGGGTTCCTGTATGGAAGCGCTTTCTCCTCCCGGTTTACGGAAGCTTATCATCGTTATCAATGAGAATTTGATGGATAATCACCAACGAGAGCTTGCTTTCACCCTACATGAGGGGAAACACGCATTTGTTTCGCCAGTGAAGTACCTCTACGAATTTGTTTCCACTGGAAAGCAGGCGCCATTTTTGGAATGTCAAGTGAGTTTGTGAGGTAACCCCCTTTGTTGCACAAATACTGTTCTCTTCCACGATGTCTCAAGGCTTTTTGTTGAATTGCACATATTTCCCCAGTATTGTGCTCAAGGAGTATCTGTTCTCCGCATTTCTCGAGAACACATGCCCACTTGTTACTTCTAGTAAGTTGCATCTGTTCTCCACTTACGGCAGAATGAAGTCCTACGGGAAGGCGAACCAGTTCTGCTAGGTGCGTCGACCAAACCCGAAAGTGTTGGCCTCATCCCCTTTCACAGAGGCAATGGTTCACTTCTGATTGACTTTCTGAACGGCTTGCTTGGTATTTCCTGTACTACATGACTTCCTTTATAGACCGTCTTTACATATCCGTTGGGCTTGATGCTTTCCCTAAATGCATATACTCCAGTGTCATACCCTTATCCCTGTTTAAATTAGTGCGCCGAAACTATCGAATATTTCCCCATGCATCAAGTCATCGCAATAATCATCAGTTATACTAAACCATAGTGATTGTATTGACGATGTGTCAAGAAAATGCATAACTACCAGTCCCCTTGAAATCTGATATCCGTGCCCATTTGGACTTGTCCAACTCGTAATTCTTAGGATTGAAAAATCTATTTCGTAACGTCGTACAAATAATCGCCTTCAAGGTCTTCCATACTGCACAAAAGAGCGAATATATGTCCACTGTTTTTAAAAAGTGGTTCACTATGAGGCCTTTATACAAGTAGTAATCGACTGGCGCAGGGAGGGCTGCTAACTGGATGACGTTGATTACCCGAAGGGGTCTACTGTGCGATTTCGCAGGCCATATCGGCAGCCTCTTCCATGTCTTTGGCGATGTGAATGCCGAGTCCGGCGGCGCGCAGGACCTCGCGTCCTTCCATTGAATTTGTGCCCTCCAGGCGTACCACGAGGGGTACCTGCGGCTTCTGCCGAAGACACGCCGCCACTATGCCCTCCGCCACCATTCGACAATTCACGATGCCTCCAAAGATGTTGATCAATATGCACTTCACTCGATTGTCAGCTTCGGTCGCATAAAAGGGACACAAGCGTCAGCAACTATTGGGCAGAAATTTTACTGCGTGGATTGGACACAGTCACTATCGTTGAGGTTCATTACAGTTGAACACAAACATACGAAAAGAGACCCGGCATTTCGCGAGACGGGAATAACCTTGCGACCTACGCAAACTGGTGACAGAGTGTGGGGACAGACAAATTAACATTGTCAAGACACGCTATTGAACTTACGCAAGCAGCTAGTTTGAGTGAAATGTGTGCATTCGGTTAGTGTATGAACAACTACTGACATACCAGGCAATGGTTTAATGGTTCCTACAAGTAGGGTATGGATCAAATCACAGTGGGAAAGATGAACTGAAATGGTGATTAGCGGTAGAACAAGGGGATGCACTATATCTTGAACCAGAAAATCAAGCAAGGAATTAAATAGCACACTTGAGAGACATGTGTGACAGGAAAATATCACGATTAATAATGAGAAGGAATGATCGAGCGGGAAACCAGCATTGTGGTCAGAGCACGTAGTGTCTGCGAGAGGTGGAAATAGCATAATCTGGACGCCGCCTGAGGCAAGTGCACTTCACAGCACTTTCGTTCGTGAATGGATTGCACCCAAAAGTTTTTGCATACACAGTGGAGTCTAAACAAAGTTGTTTTCGTAAAGACCTGATCAAAAATAACTCGGACATGAAATGTAGTGAATTTTCGCTGCTTGATATAAGAAAATCACAAACAGATTCAACTTAAGGAGGTTAAACACATATTACGCTTTGCTGTGCAAGGAAGCTAGAGTGGAACTTTTCCCATGGGTCAAACAACCGTTTGAATAAATCCTTTTGTGGAGAAATCACATCACAACGCACACAGAGCAGTTGGATTTGAGCTATTTAGGCAACCTTGAGAATCTCGCTTACCCCATCACATCACCCAAGTTTGCAATGAATGTCGCATTACCCATGGACAAAATAGCCATAATATTTTTTTGACTCTCCAATCCCATCGCGCAGATTCTTCTACACATGCTTTAATCAATTACAATCCTCCTGATTAATACAACATTATAGAAACTTATCAGAAAGGGTATGGATCGACATAATAAGAATTCATTTTTGAGGAACTGGGAGCTTTACAGTCCACTATCAATTTTGCAACACTAAGTCTACATAAAGTAAGGGGGCGGGAAAATCGGCGGAAATAAGGCAACACCGAAGAAGACAAACATACCAGTAAGAGTCTGAAGAGCAAACTCAACGTCGGTCTGTGAAGCTTTGCCTCCAAGATCAAGAAAGTTAGCGGCCCTGCCATGATGGAGAGAAAGGAGGTCAAGAGTTGCCATGGCGAGTCCCGCTCCGTTTACCATGCAACCGATGGTTCCATCGGGCAGACCGATGTAGTTGAGTCCATGGGCGTCGGCACTGGTCTCCAGCGCCAGCAACGAGTGTTCTCCTGCCGCCTCCACGTCCAGTTTACGCGATTGCGCCGCTAATGCTGCCACTCGTGGCTGACGATACACTGCATTATTGTCAAACGAAAATTTTGCATCCATGTTTACCAGAGAACCATCCTCTCTCTCACCGAGTGGATTGATTTCAACCTGACCATGTTATGTAAAAGCACGTGTAACAAAGATTAATTTCATGATAAACCCAATATAATATGCATTTTTAATGCTATCGAAAAATAAAATCTAGCCAGGCCATACTTGAAGGCAATCGAGATCCACAAACAGGTTATACAGGTTTTTCAGTTGAGAGCACATGAAAGTGTGCTGTGAAGAACCATGATTAAAGCCAAGGGAACACGCAATGCTCCCAGATTTAGCATCTGCAACAATGTCAAAAACTAGAAACCATACCAGTCATCCCTTCCTGCAAGTCAATAAATTCCTGCCTTATTGAATCAGGGCTTGCGCGGGCAACATCTTCGATGTTAACGCCACCCTCAATAGAAGTAATAACAACAGGACAGCAAGCTTCTCGGTCTAAGAGAATTGCTAGATAACGCTCTTTCTTCAAGTCCACAGCATCAGCGATCATGACCTGCATGATAAGAGACTCATAAGAAGATTAAAGAAAAACAATGAAAGCAGAAAAAGGCATACAGTATTTACAACCACCCCGTCAGGGGTTGTTTGCTTTGTTACTAAGCGGTTTCCTATCATCTTGGAAACAATGATCGGAACTTCTTGAGGATCATTGGTGAATTGGATGCCACTGCCGCCGCCAGAAGAAAAATGGCCTAACTTCCTACCTCCCACTTGAACTTGAGCCTTGAGGACGTACAAGTTTGGCTACGTTTACAAAATGTTAGGTAACCATCAACACACTTTAAAGGCAGCGACAATGCGCTCGGCTTCCTCAACAGAAGATGCTATGCGAAAATCCTGCACAGCGAGATCATACTCATTCATTAAGATTTTACTCTGGTATTCTGGAAGGTTAAAGCTGCGACGAAATTGTAGTAATTTTGAGGAATTCACAAGTAGTTTCTTGAGGGCACCAAAAGCCATATTGTAACACACAAACCGCACAGTACGCTTGAAGGCTAAACTTAACCGATGAGTGCAAAAGCCAATAACCCACAAAGGGGATCGAACTAGTATACCATTGGTAAGTTTTAGATGGAACAGATTTATTCAAGAGGGTCAAAGAGATTTTTACTTACCAGATCGATTTCCAAGTTATAGGTTTTAACTTGGCTTATAGCCAAATTAAGTCTCGGAAATGCCCAGGACGAAATAAACCGAAACAGATGCTGTGCAAAATCCATCTAGACAAGTAGTCATTCCGCAAGAATGTGCATTGTTAATACAGCAATACACATCCTTTGTACACAAACTGGCAAAGTTTGGGTGCATCACCTTTGGTTTTGAGCATAATAATATCTCCAAAACTAAAATGTGATTTATCAGGGCTACCTTTTGATTATAGGTAAAACTAAATTTTGAAAATATAGGTAGGACTCATTAATTTTCGATGCCAATTATTTCTATTTTCGAGGCTAAGATACAACTGAGGTTTAGTACGATATACGGGAGTGAGCAATCGGATGGATTGCAGTCCCGCGTTATACGAGAGCTCTGTAATTCATTATCGTGGGCAATGGGTCCCGTTAACAATCCATGCAAAGTGACTCATGCTGACAAGCCATTTATGAAGAAACCTTGCATTTGTGAGGTTTGCATTTGTGGGTGAGAACACCTTTAATGGCCTAATCTAATGATACTGTTGTGGATATTTTATATTGGAAGATGTTATCAGGGCTAAGGCTTTCATTATCCTCTTGAACTCTCTGTGTTTTGGTCATCGCCTCATGTACTGTGAGCTCTGTCTCTTGCCTCGTCTAGTTTTTTTTGGAAACCGTTTTGTTACTTGTTAATTGATTCACTTCACATTTAACCGTTCTGTGCTGTCACTTAACATCACCGTCTAACCTATTGGTTCATGGCACTTAAGTCTGAGAATACTGCTACTTTCTAGAAGAAGACTGTTTATGGAAGAATACTTTTCTCACTCACTCTGTAATGGCTAAATGAGTTGTTACAGTTTACACAGCATGATAGCAAGTTTGGCATTTCTGAGTAGCCTATTTTGACTGATATTCTGTGTCCTTATTAATGTCGCGAATCTTTTATGCGTTTATTTTATAATTTTTAATGCTAATAGGCTTACATTGCCTTTATCTTGTTGTGTTATTACTGGCTTTCCTTTTTATTGATTCTTAGAAAATCCTCTACGCTGCGCAAGCATTTCTCTGAACGCAGTAACTATTTGCGCAGTAGCTTGGCGTGTGTTTGCTTATAACTATGTAAAATTTTCCAATATGAATAGTTCTTACGTTTTTTATGCTGCATGTCTCCTTAACTCTTCATTTGACCTAAAATAATTATGAAGGATGTGGTGGATTCTCCTGTATTTCGATTGTGTGTCTCGTTTACCGCTTTAGTAACAACCATGTTTCTCGACTGAAAGGAGGCTGTAACACCTGAATAGTCTTGATTTTTGCATGTGTGCTTGCGTCTTGTGTTAACATTTTTTGTCAATTTAAACCAACAACTTTCCGTCTTAAAGGACGCTGGTAAATAGCCCAGTTTGATATTAAATTATTTGAGTTAGCGGTTGAGAGTACATTTACGTGCTCTTTACGAAACGTCGTTTCTCTGTTATCACAAATGATGGTACTAAACAGCATGGATCCGTGTCTGTGCTATCTTCGGCCTAAATGATTTATTAAATTTTCTTTTAAAGTTGATTTTTATTCAAAAGGCAAGTGTTTCGGCTGCTCCTTACTTATTTTTAAATGGAAAGACACACGTAAAATATTTCGTAATTCTTGAATATTCGCGTAATTAGCATGTTATCTAATGTATAGCAAAATTTTGCCGTTCCTGATTCTCTGTTCTGCACAGTCTGTTTGGAAAGTGAACAAAAGGTACCATGGTTTAAGTTTAACCAAAATGAAGGTGGTGATTATTAATTACTTATTTTCTATTTCGCCCTATGAGACGTCATCGGTGTCCCCACCAGGTAAAGCAACAGATACCATGGGGACCATGTGTAATGTCGGAGTATAGCGCAAACTACCGTCCTCATTGCTTTGACCTGCGCAAGGCGTTCGTGCCGGAGGCAGGGCTCCTGTGCCCTGATGAGCCTTTGTCAGACCAGACTACCCACCGCATAGATTATAAGCCACAACCGTTGTCCCCGCTGTGGCGCCACGAGAAAGAGGGCTATAAGCCCCCCTTAGCACCTTTGGACAACACAACCAACTACCGCCTTGACTATACCCCCAAACAAGCCTGTCCAGTAGAGCTCTGTCCTCCTCCCTCCGTGTGTTCATGCCCCGGGAAATTCGACGGCAGTCCAACATATCGGAGTGAGCACTTTCTGAAAATCACTGCCATAACATCTTTGCTGGACAAGCCCTTCATTGATACTTTGGCAACTGAAATTGTTCAAGTTAATTATTTTTCTTTCTACGAAGTATGGGCTCTATGAATACAACTTGACGCATTTATTTATGGTATGGGCAGCATTTTCAGAGCAGTTCTCAAAATATAATATTCTTCCAAGGATTATTAAATCTTATCTCACCACTATGACCTATCACTATCTTGAGTAGCTCAGTCAACAAATACAAAAGTGTAATAATTATTTGGATCGCGATTCTTTCTATTCATCAAATTTTACGTTACCAATAGCAAAATTTCAGAAAGCGTATAGGACTGGGTAGCATAACAAAAGAAAAGCTGAGACGATTACAGGCAATTTTATTTGTCTAGGTGACTACAGACCATGGGATTTGCCACCCCTGGAGCACCGAAAGGATAAGTCCTATAAGCCGCCGGACACACCGTTCGAGGGTTTGCCGACTTATCGCACTGACTATGTCCCCAAATGTGAAGCTAGGCGGGCAAACTTCAAGCCCAAATCAGAGCTTGTCGTTCCGAATTCGCCTCTCGATACTGTGACTAACTACCGTTTAGACTACGTACCGCATCCACTGCAACTTCGTCCACCAAAGGAAAGGGAACTCCCCATTAAATCTAAGGTGCCTTTCAATGGTCTTACCACGGTCCAGTCTGATTACACGCCGAAGAAATCTTGTGAGTTTCCTTCATTCTGTTTCAGCTAATATCAAAAAATTGCTAGTGGACATTGTTAACGGTGTGGCACCCATCTTTGCTTAGGCTGAGCTAGGTTCATATTAGTAAACTCGTTTTCACTCATTCTTTGTCGAAAGAGATTGGAATCATACAGGGTTTTTATTGCCGAGAATTTCCTTTGTTTCTACACACTGTGAGGCTTCTACCAAACTGGGAAACTTTTGCATATCATATCAAGTATTTGATTCACACCTCATCATGTTTTAATCAAACTGTTGGCCAAATTTTTGTGCAGTAAATATCCCTTGCTTGTGTGAAAATGTCTTAATGCATCAAATTTCAACTGTCATGCATTGCCCTTCAGTGTGCTTGGTAATTTCGCGCGTATTTAGGCCTTCAACAATCGTTCAAGCCACTGGATAATCTTCCTGATACCAAGGATCCGATGAGTCATAGCACAACTCATCGCGTAGACTACACCCCTCATCCACTCTGTCTACCCTATAAACACCCTCGTAAAGAATACAAGAAACCCGAGGGGTCCATGGAAAAGGGAACAACTTATCGGACCGACTATCCTGTTGTATGTTTAACTGAGAAAGCAGTTCGTAATGTTGACAAATCAGTGAAATCAAACTGCGTATATTAAGCTAACTTTATTAGATGCAACAAATTCAGTGACACCCGTAAAATGAGTTTTAAGTTGTGGCAAAAATTGACCACTGATGCTTACTTGGTTTTATAGCTGCCATTGTGCAAATCAGAACCAATTATGATGCTCGAATGTCTGAAGTGTCCGCAGCCCTTCGACGGAACCACAGTCTATGGTACTGAATTTAAGCACTGGAATGTGCAAAAACAAGTTATCAAACCAGTTCACCTTTACTGCCCACCCGCTGTGCCTATGGAAACGCTTTCCACAACTCAGGTGAAATTTATTCTTTGCACCTACTCCCATCGTTAAGTAGCTCGACTTATAGCTATACAACAACAACAATTCTCCGTAGGTGGACTTCGGGCCGAAGCTTGCATGCAAGGTGGAACTGCTCAAGCCTGCAACAGAACCCCTGCGCAGTGGTCCATTCGATGGCCAAACTAACTACAGAATTGAATATACTCCCAAATCGGTCGAATGTCACTGTCCTGCAGCTTACCTAAGCAAGAACAAAGTGAGCCCCGATGGGTACTCCTTTGAGGTAAGAAACAGAACTACTGAGTCGACTCATGATTTCACTAAAGTTTAAATGAAATTATTTACGACGCTATTGCCTATGAGTCAAGCACGGTAAGGAACATTTTGACAGACACTACGGCTGAGACCATTTGAAAAAGCCCAATAACTACCCTTATGTTCTCATCCAGCTAAACGTTTAAAAAGAACATTCTGCATTGCCTTTACTGAAGAACTTCAACTCATTTAATATGGTTTCGTGCATTCGAAAATTCGGAGCAATAGAGAATAAGGGAGTGAGTAAAGCAATTAATGTACTTTAGCATCACAACCTTCATCTTCTTTTTCAGGCTACCGACCCCTGCGGTCATGAGCACTACAAACTACTGAAAAACCAAATAAAGGCCTAAGGTGGTCCAAGCCCAACATCTAAGTAACCACAAGCAAAACAGGTGCACAAACACACCCAAGACCGCATGCCATCGGTTGTTTTCACCCCTTAGTTGCCAAGGTAAAATGTGCATTCCTATAGCATAACATGATGCACAGCAACAAATCTCCTTATTGTTTTTCCATAGTGGCGAGACTTCATCACATTGTGTAAATCTAAGAGGTGTAACATGCATATGAAGCTAAAGAACAGTCAATATGTTTTCTCCTATGAGTTAAGTGGACACTGAATATGTTACAAACATTTGTGCCGTTAATGGCACATTGCCTATTGGCAAAGACAAAGGTGTAGTGTTATTAAAATTAAATCGTGCCGCCAAATAATCAATGTTATGATTTAAGTGCTCATCAAACCGAATGGATAATCGCTGGCAAATGTCCGCTTAATAGTCAGCTAATCCTTTGATTCATGACAGTTTAAAATTCAGTTACCAAAGTCATACAAAACATCGATTGAAACAAGTTTATAGATTGGATTAAAAGGGTACTCCTAGAACTCCACTGGATCCTCAACAGAGTTTTCAGATGCCCTCAGTCGCTCGCCTGAAAATGAAAACAAGGTTTTTACCTTCACTTTTAGCTATGTAATTAAAAGATATGACTGAATAATTGCGCCTTCGTTGATCATGGTTCTTTAAGTGTACCGAAACGGAAGCAAAGTACCTCCAAGTAGTATAATGAATCTTTCCTCTGAAATTGCACACTTCCCTTCTGTACCTTGAAACGTAACATACGTAAACTAGACGGAAAAAAATTACAAAAGGGCATGTCTTATGGGAATTTCGACTGCCTTCATATTATTACAACAACACACCTGCTCCCAACGTCCATGCTTGAAATTACTTACAATGACAATATTGACGAGCATAGAGCGTAATTACCTCACGAAACTTAAATCTCTTCGTCATAACTCGGTTCCACACTAATGCAAGTAAGAACAGTATGAGATCAAAACTTCCAATGAATCTATTTATTATAAGTTCATTGAAAATTTTTTTTGACACTTGTAAACATTTACCTTGTCCTACGTCTTCTCGGTATGTCTGTAGGCATACACTGGCCTGTTCACATCTCCATCAGAGGAAATTTTTTTAATGATAGGTTGATGCGTAGAAGCACCTAGGTGACATCAGGGCCGCTATCCACTTGACTGGCGCACAGACAGGTGCGTTTAGCTAGCCATGAAGATGTCCAATAGGGGGTGGAATGAAATGAGAGGGTGTGTCTACGAAAGTGTACGCATACTTAGGGAGTGTGATGTATTTCGGACTGATGTCAGGGGAAGGTAACTTATCAAGAAAGCAGCAATTGTTCTACCAATCGACAGGGGACAGAAGACTCGTTGCAGATCTCCATTTACTACCAAACTCTCCAGAGGATAGTACTTGTTTTAGCCATTAGCTGGAAAATGGACTAGACTCCTACTTTGATTCATGGTCTTCATCGATGCAGTCGAATCTATGAGATAAAGTTATTTTTTGTGAGACGGCAGTGATGTAGAAGACAAAGTAATGGATCATGTTTGGGATGCAACACCCACTAAGGGGTTTGAAAGCTTGTAATAATTTTGATGTGAATGCAGAATGGCTAAGGCGCAACAGCTCATGGCAGCATTCAATCCATCTTTTCGTCTGTCAATGAGAAGTATCGGCTGTGAAAAAGAAAGCTTGGTAAAGGTGCGTTTTGAGCATTTTTACCTGCGATGTCTTGCGGTTAAGAGCAATAAGTTGGTTAACAAAACGATTCAAGAAGGAAACTATGGCTGTTGAATTGGCTGTGGCTATTAGACGGAGAGGCTAGTCGTATTGGACGATAAGGGTAGCGGTAGTAATGGTGGTAAAGCAAGTGTTGCATAATCATTCAAGTTAAATAAGAGACAACAATCCGAATAGCAGTAGCAAAAAAAGGAAAAAGAACGAAATAAGTGACAGCTGACCCTCAAACACTACCGTCACTTTACCAGTTGTGAAATAGATGTTAAAGGTTGTTCCAGTGGCTATTGGTTGATAAAGATGTCCAATTGGCCCTCAAATGTGCAGCACATATTGATCGTATCAGCGCATCAAGCGCTGTTATTCAAAGAGCACATTTCATAATGTTTTGCAGTCCAGCGGCAGTAACTTATGAACCCGAACACGGTCATACAGTAATGGGTGTTTTGAATTGTTAATCCGTAGTCATGGACCAGGGAACTATCATACTCATTGCATGGCCTTTAAACGTTTTATTTTCATACGCGACGCCGTTTGTTCATACGCCTAAGCTCTGCTACATCACTGACGTTAGGCTAGTGAAGATGGATGGGGCTGTAGCACTGATAGACAACATGAGCCCATAGCCCAAGGTATAAAAAAGAGTTACAGCACTTACGAATTATCTCGGCAATGACACGCTGTGTCCTTCGTTCAAGCTTCTTTAGCTTCTTCTCCACGCCACGTTTTAAATCCCAATCTGGTTTTCGAGGAGCCAAATTGAACAAATTCTACCGGTAAAACAAATGAATGGTCTGCTTTTTACCAGTCCCTTAATCTGTAGAGAATAAATGGTGAGCGACAGCGACAGCATTTTCAAACAATTGTTATCGTATGCTACTAAAAAATGAGCGCAAAGACTGAGGCGAGGAAAGGTGAACAAAGTTTTCGTGCGTGCACAATTCAAGAGAGGAG